ACATGCATGGGACTTCATGGTAGTCAGATGAGAGGCTGCCAGCTGCTGATGGGTGACTGTTTGAGCGTGGCGCCTCAGGACATGCCCGCTGAAAGCCGATGCGATCCGATACCCCCACTTGTGCTCTGCTTATATACATATGCCCCCTCTTATGCAGAGGAGACCCATATCAATTGCAGAACTTTCAGTGTTTTGGTCATTATGCCAAGTTGTTTGAGCGAGCGTGTTGCATGTCTTAGTGGGAAATGTGTACTTACTGGGCTATGACCACTGAGAAAAATTCCCCTCTGCATAAAACTACTGTGTGCCTCTGCAAAAGTGTTGATATGACAAGTATTACAGAGAAGTTGCTGAGTGAAACAAAAAAAAACACTTTATCAATCAAATCAGAGGAGGTTTTTTAAAAAGAACATATTAGTAAATTAACTGAACATGTGCAACTATACTGCATAGAAAGTACTAAAACCTTGTTTTAGTACTGAGATCAGCACCATAATAAAACTAACAAGGGTAACACAAGAAGTATGGATATTTGAATATACATTCAATATTTGAATATGACCCAATGTTAACAATTTACGTAGGATATTTAGTCTCAAAGCTGAGACCATAATCAGGCCTAGCAGTTTATTTCAGCCTTTGGAACGTAAATATCTCGTCCATCTAGAAACCATAGGTGGAAACCTATGGTTAAGTCCCAGATGTGACAGATCCAGGAGAAAAATCCAGTCATTGCTTTCTCCATTAGCTGCAATGCAAATGAGTGAAAAAAATGTCTACATTGTTTCCACTAAGTAAGAAACACAATTACAATCACATTTGTTCATCCAATAAGTCATTAAAAAACATTCCACGCCATCATCTTCATACCACTTCCTGTTGTCTTCTTCATTTCTTCCACCAGATGAAGAAGACAACCGATCAATAACCATAGTGCCATACGGTTGTTGATCACATGACTTGTATGATGTAAAATAAAAACTTGTTTCCATTGCAGTTTTGCGAAATACACAGATTTTGAAAAGTACCTCATCTTAGTGAAAAAAAACTTTTTTCCAACATCAGTTCCTGTTCAGGATAAAGTAGATGTTACATTTTGGATGTTTTCTCAGGACAGAACATGTCACCCTTTTCTGGACCGTTTGGAAATGAGTCTTGCTGTGATCGATCAGAACCGGAGCACAGAGCAGCTCCACTTACCCCAGGACTCGAACCAAGTCCTGATCCAAACCCATCCCGCTCTTCTGACTGCACACTGAAGTGATTATACCCCCAACTCTGTACCCCAACCTAGCACACACGCACACACTGAGACACGCTCACGCTCAGAGGGGCTAATTAAAGCTTTAATATGCAAATGAGAGCCGCAGTAAATTACACAGCTGGCAAATATGCCTGTTTTTGCCTGAAAATACATCAGGAGCGCAGCGACGAGTGTGTTGCTGCAGTTGTTGTTGTGTTTGCAAGGAAACAGGGGATCACCAACCCCCCCCCACCCAGCTCCCCTTCAGCTATTCCACCCCCAAGCCCCTGTCGCCTGCTGGAGAGACTCATCTAGCTTTGTCCCTTTCAGAGGCATCAAAAAGAAAAGTCAACTCTGATTCCAGATGTTGGATAACATCAGAATATAATGCCGCACTGGTATCCCATCAGATATGCAGCCACAAAAACGAATTTCATGGTTAAGTTTTCATATTTGTCCTTACTTGTATTGTCCAGTTATGTCCACATGGTATCAAATGTATAAATCGGGTGTGTTCAACAGTTAGTGTTAGAAAGCCTAGAAGCCTCCTAAACAGACAGAGGCCAATGTCAAAACTTCAACGTGTAAATTGAAGATTCTTTTAAGATATGTTTATTACATATAGCATTTTATACCAACTCAAGATAACATATGAGCAAATATTTAGTCACTCTGATTCAATGATTCCTCAAAAATGAATAAAATAGGTAAAGCAACACTCCAAGTATGTTTTTGATGAGGGACCTACACTATGACATAATATACAACTAAAAAATATTTTAGACAATATACCCCCTTTGGAAATGTCTTTTAATTCATCTGGTAAGATAAGAAGTTGCTCCATCAAGGTGACTGAGTCCTGTGAGCCTTGTTGTGTACTGCAGTTTCAGTGCAGATCTGGGAACAGTTTGATTTCAGATCCATCCATCTGCTTGGAGCCCACTTTGTTGCCACCCTCCGAGGCTTTGCCGTGAGACTTGTTCTGCGTGGTTGCTGCTGACTCCCCTGAGCAGCAATGTCATCATAATACAAGCTGCATGCATGGTCGGGCTGTCCCGTCACCCAGCTGCCCTACTGGGACAGGACAAGAACCCAGAAACATATCCAGAGACCCTTCTGTTTTACGCCATACTTAAAATATGAATCCATGCTTCCTTGTGTGCTAAATCAAAGTTCAACAAAAACACAACCCTATTCTCAGATGTCATTCAAAGCAAGATGGAAACTTGCACAGAGTAGTCAACAAAGTTAAAAAATGGACATGACCTATCAAAGTTAACCCAAGCAGAGCAAGTAAAGAGCAAACATCACAAGTTCCTAAAGGTAAATTTGCTTTGGTTGACAAACCACAGAGAAATGGAAAAAGGCAAAAAAACCCATGTCAGTGCCCCAAAGAGAGAGTTTGTAAAGACAACCCAAACCAATGTTTGCAAGACAAAAAGCAGAACCGATCAATGCCAAGAAAACAAGAAGGAACAAGAAGTTGCAAAGGGCCTCAATCTCAATCTGATTGAAATATTTTGTGGAACCTTAGAAGAGCTGTGTGTAGACAAATCTCTGTGGCGCTATGTTCAACAACTTAGTAAAAGTGGCCACATAATCCTGGAAAAGGGGTGGTTTTGTTGTTAATGATTGAAGTTTGTTTTAAAAGTCTGAACGAAAAATGTGATTTTATTTTTGCCTTTTTAGACTAAAATGGCATAATTCAGCTTAAGAAAAAAAACAATTTATTGAACTAGATCACCACTTTTTCAGTTTACCACGACCAATGAGTTACTGAGTATCCACAAACACAATTCACTGCAAAGTTGATCCCACAGACAAGACTATGCACCTCTCTGACATGCGACATTCAAAAGAGGACACTCTGCTGCCTTATCTCCTAACTCTTAAGCTAACAGGATGTTCATGTTGGACAAATCCAAAGCCAAATATTTAGGCATCAAACAGGCACCAAGGCCCCGTTGTCCAATGTGTGATTAAGAGCGTGTCGGGCAGAGGAACTTCACTTCATTAGCTGGTTCCCCTGATAAGGATGTATACACAGCTCCCTCTTGCAGTGGCTACAGAGAGAAAATGCCCCTCAGAAAAGGCTGCTTTCCACCAGGGCCAGGGAGCATGAATATTTTAAAAGGGTAAATAATTAATAATTAACAGCAAACAGGCCACTGATCAAATGAAGCAGTGTGGCAACAGACATGAAAACTCCGACTCTTGTAAACAAAGACGAGAGGACCCAGATTTCCTCTCCTTCTTCTACCTTCTTCTTCTCTCGCTCCCTTAATATGCGCATCCCCAGTCAACCCCCATCACCTCCCCATGAAACCACACACACGGCGGAACACACACAACGCACATCAGCAAGTGCCATAACCCCCTCCAACACTTATTTTCCCCAAAATTTCCACGTATTCCTCTGCGGCCTGGGGAATGTGAATGAGCGGGAACACTTGATCTGGCCACCCGCTGCTTTCTGATGGAAAGATTTGGTTTTTAATACGATCGTCACTCCTCCCACCTGGATAGGCCACGGCAAGACAAATCCCATCTGTGTGGCTCCAGAACCTGCCACGGCTTAAAAAATTCCCTTATTACAACTCCCTTAAAATGCCCGGCCACACAAGCTCCCAACAACGGCGGGAATGCTAATCATATGTCTCGGCAGCTTTAGGGGAGGAAAGGAACTGAGGAATAAGATGAAGAAATCCCAGCTTTAATGACACACATTCACAGAAACATCCTCCAGAATCTGGCACATCTTTTCGCCTGATTTTAGCCAGAGGAGGCGTTTCATAAAAATCAGACTTAATCGTGTAAACAACACGCAGACAAACAGTAAACCTCTGCAAACAAAAATAAAACTACTCTGGAAGCTGTGCACGGATTGCCTTCAGAGTTAATTTTAAAGTAAGCATCCCCTTCCTTCGAGATTTTAATTAATGCTTTAATATGCAAATAAGTCAGCAGAGATAAAATCATGACAAACAGATGGCAAGTGTGGGTAATTATTTAGTGAATCCAGCAGGGGCATGTATTAAAGTTATGGCATCGTTTTCCTCAGGCCTCTGCAGCCATGGAAAGGTGGAGACAAAAAAACGCATAACATCACAAACTTCGACTCTACAAGAGACAAATTTGAAAACAACAAAAACCTAAGTAGAAATTTATAAAAATTCACCCGAAAATACTGGAGAGCTGAAATATAGAGACGTAGTCACAATATTACCCAACCCAAAATTACTGGCTTTTTATGATTTCATTGTATCATTATTATAAATTCACAATATAGCATGACAAAAACAAACCTTTACCGGTTCTTCAGGCTATTACCGACGGTCAGAACTGGGGCAGTTTGTGTACAAAACATTTCACAATATTTAAAATACACATGACAGGAGAACCTGACCAACAGTCGCACATCAGATTGAAATGGATTCAAAATATTGACTCCTTATTCTAGCATAACTGATTAGGAAACAATCAAGCATTTAAACGCCCTCTATGTGTTTGGATTACTTGGGAGAGCTTCTTTTTCCCTCCATTTGGTCTCGGGTAAATGGTAGAACATGGATTAACAAGCATTCCAACTCAGTTTAGCATTGGAAAGCTAACATTAATTAATTTGAACTACGGCAAATTGGACTCCTAAGATCTAAGATATTCTCGACTGGAATAAATCGACCAATATTTCCAAGAGCCCTAGAATCAACCAACTGCAGCAGGAAATCCTGAGCCAGATCACATTAGTGCCACCTACCAGCTCTTGTGGAGGTATGGGATCCACACCCAGTTGAGACAGAGAGCAATTAATCCTCAGCGCCAGGCTGAGGGCCATCAAGCCTCCGAGCTTCACTCGGTTCTGATGGAGGTCCAGCCTCTGAATAAGACGACTCTCAGCAAGGAACTCGGCCAATGCCACAGCACCTTTACATGGAGGGACAGATGAACCACCTTCAAAAATTAGTACCGCAAATGTACTCCTCAAGATGTTTTCAGCAGCAGCAGTACAAAAAAATCTCAGAAGACTGATGGAATTATCTACAAGAGAGTAGATGTTTAGAAATTATTGTGTGCTGTACCTTCACAGGTGATCTTGGTTTGGGCAAGGCCGAGATGCAACAATGAACTGTTCACCATTAGTGGCTCCCTGATCATCTGGATGCCCTCATTCCCCAGGTGATTGTCCCCTAAATCCAGGACCTCCAGGATCTTCAGACCTGGCTGCAGAAACAGGGCTCATTCAATTTAAATCGCTGTCTGAATCAGTGTTAAGAGTATGCTAGCTTGGCAAGACTGAAAAGTTTGGACTTCCATCATTCAGCTGTGAATATTATTCCATTTAAAAATGTTTCCTCTCATGTTAAACACTCAGAACTTCTGTTTTCTCTCTCCAGAGTCGCATTAGCATTGAAGGTTGATTAGCTGGTGCATGAAGCTGGGGGTGTTTGGTGCACGAGGGGCCCACATCGCCTGAAGAGGAACGCGGCACCCACTCCTGGTTGCGTCCCATCGCTTCACCACCCTCCTCTGGTCACTGCTCTGAAAAGAGATGGAGTACGGGGGTGGAAACACCCAGGCAGGCGACTGACAGACCTGGAGAGCGTCTTCTTTGGAGTTAATTTGCACCGCCGTGACAACAAACATGCTCCAGACCCTCCTCCCTCCCCTTTCTCAGTCCTTTTTCCTCACCAAGTTGAGGCGCACAGAAGAGCCTCCACATCCGACGCATGGCGGGAGCAGGAGAGCATCCCGGATGGATATGCACGAGGGATAATAGCAGACAATTAAAGAGGCGACTGCGTGGTTGAAAGCTGTCAAACGTGAACCCCACAGGGCTTAGAGTGAGAAGTTTAAGGGGAGGCGGGGAGTGTGAAAGAACCAAAAACACAGTATGTTTTCACACATGACATGGTGACTTTAAACTGGAAAACAACAAGAGCTCTGTGTAACACAATCACCCCCAAATACTATCAGAACAAAGAAAACCTGGACATCATTATCAAGACTTAAGACACAACTAATCTCCTGGAAAAAGTTCAAGCAGATGGGTTAAATACCACCCTCCCCATTCTCCATCATAATCCACATGAGCAGCTAAAGGTCTAATTATGGTCATTATGGCCTAAATGGCAAGTCACATCCATTATTTCATCAAACTGGTCTTCTTTTGGTAACACTGCAGATCATAAGGCTCAGTCATAATTTCCACCTGTCTGAGTTGCACAATAGTATCTCACAAGACAAGAAGGAGCTGTTTATGTATCCAACCAAGGCAGTTGAAGGTTATTCAAAGAGCTCAAGTAGGTGGACGGAAACAGGATTGAAAAATCTTCTCCTTGTTTTCCAGTACTAAGACCAAAGAAGCACTAATTTATGTAACCAAACAAATCAGTCTCAGAGGATTTAAGAAAAGTACAACATTCTTTGACTACAAGTGTCCTGATGTGGAAAAACCTTTTACATGAATTAACCTGAATAAATAAAACAGAAGTCAGAATAATGCAGGCATGATGAATGCCTGCATTCATCATGAACACATTTTTTCCTAGACAATATAACATTTAGGACTTCCTTCAATACCTTTATTAAATCAATTCTTATTGCTCTGTGATGGTACAAAATATATACACATTTATTATTAAAAGGCCTATATTTGCAAGGGTTCAGATAACACAGTTTTCATGCTCCTCACCAGAGTCTTGGCCAGGTGGTTCATGCCTCTCTCTGTGATCTGGTTGTTCTTGAGGATTAAGACTTTCAGACCCTTTGTCTGTCTGGATAGGCCATCACACAGCTCTTCCAATCCTGAAAAACAACCACTGTTTATTTGTTAGTGTTGTTTGGGCCAAGTTTGACTTTAAAGCGGTCTGTAAATGATGTTATCAGGACTGAAGGTACCATCCCATCTAAGCTGGCAGTCGTAGCACTTGCTCAAAGTGCTAAAACTCATGAACCAGCCTTCAGTTTCCCATCTTTTCTACCTGTGACCCTCTGACCCTAGTAGTTTCCTGTATGTGTTCATCAGTATCTCTCCAGACTTGTCTTTTGAACTTTAGTACTAACCTTTCACAAATCCACTTGTGAGGTTTAATCTGTCATCATCTCTGTAACCTACCTGCATCTGCTAAAACATTGTCACTGAGTTCCAACATCCGCAAAGTGTTGTTGTATCTCAGCAGATCTCCCAGCTGCATGGCGTCCTGGTAGCCGTTCAACTGGTTGCTGGAAAGATGGAGCTCCAATAAAGCTCTGTTTGTTTTCAAGGTGCGAACTACATGCAATAAGAGGAGAAAGGGATTTAAAAATTACAAGAAACACAAGCAGATGAAAGTGAGGTCGACAACTTGATCCAAATCTGTTGACTATATGTGGCAGCTAAAAGACTGGAACTTCTCCAAATGAGGCAGAGACAAACATCCACCTTTACCGAGTGAAGCAGGTGATCAAACCTTAATCAGGTAGTTACATTAATTCATATTGAGTAACATTTATCAACAATCTTTTTCAGCCTGTAGTTGGGTCCTGTCAATATTGCTGTAATGTCTGCTGAAAGGATTTATATGAGACTGTTTGAAGGGTCAGAAAGGACCAGAACCAACAGGTTTTCTCCTCACCTTGGAGATAACTGACATGTAGTTTCAATTTATATGTATTAAATCTGATCTACTGTGTCCTGAACACCAACCACAAGGCCTCTGCAGTGGGACTTAGTGAACGTGATCATGAAAATGATTTCACAGCAGGAGTCCTGGCCTCCAGCAGTTCTTACGATGAAGAAGCGGTTGGTCTTTCGTCTCGCAATAAAAAAGGTGAAAGCAGACACGTTACTTCTCAGAAGAGGTAATAGAACACCTGTCAGATTTCTGCATTGCCTCTTAACCTTCTTTCCTTTGTTCCTATTTCTTTATCATGTAAACTGTGTTTGGGGTTTGTCCTTTGTGTTGTCTGTACTGTGCTGTCATTCACTTGTGTCCATGTTTTTGGACCCTTGCTGTCCTTCCACCTAGATCAATGCCACAGATTTAATCAAACCCACAGGCCTGCATGTGGAATGCCAACATTGTCATCAGGCCCAGCGGGGAGCAAATGGCGAAATCGGTGGGATTGATCCGGGCTGACTCCACTGCAAGCACCCAATCCGCTCTGATCGAAGGCAATGATCCTCAGCTGGGACCCCCACTGGGGAGGAAGGTGTAGGGATTGGCCAGGGGGCTCGGTAAAGGCATGAATGATGGGGGGAGAGTGCGGGTTGTGAGTGGGAGGAGGAGAGCGGTTTGGTAGAGTTGAAAATATCAAAGAGATTCAGGAAGTGCCTGAAAACGAGGAGGGAAGAGTGGGCAGCATACTGAGTCCATTTGGGTCTGTTCTGCTCCCAGCTGAGCGGAGGCGACAGGCTCTGAGCATGACTTTGATTTTCATGTCCACATGAGAAGTCATAAACACAAACTTAATTCTTTCATTTGATGATCTGATCATGAAAAAAATATTAAAATTAAAATTTTGAAAAACAAACTATGCATGAATGTTTTTTTTGATAGATGTATTCAATGTTTGAAAACTAAACACAATAAATCAAATGGATTAATTTTCAGTTTGATATCATAGGCAAAATCAAAGGATATTTTTATGGAAATTCAACAAAATTCAACCTGGAATATTTTTTGTGTGAAATTAAAAAAAATGGACTAAAGTGCTAATTGTTTCTGACATTTGCAACATGAACTTCTCTAATTTCTTTTTCTCTGATGCATACATTATTGAAAAATATCTAGAAGCTAAAATTAACAGTTTACTTGCACATGGCATCTTCAATGAACCCAAATATTTTTTTTTATTGAATAACTTTCAAAAATAGATGCAAACCATGTTGTTGCCTCAATGTGTTAAGGTTTACTCTTCATACATTCAGGACAAACGGCAGACTGCTCCTGTACAATCTGTCTGATTTACATCTGATCTATGCCTGTGTCTGCCTTGAATTAAAATGTGCTTAGGTGTTTGTGCACAGATCCTTGCAAAACACTAAGCTCTTTCTGTGTTGTGTTTGCTTGTAATAAATGTATTCATGCGGGTGTCTGTGTCCTGGCTGCCACAGCCTCTAAAGACATGTGCAGTGGTGCGTAAAGTGGCAGGTAAGAGATTAGGCCTCTAATCCTGGTCCAGACCTGCAGAGATGGTCACAGGTCAAAATCTGGTCCTGCTGACCAGAGAACACAAACACTCACAACATAAACACACTAGAAGCTCTTGAACTGGATTGTTCAGAGGGTAAAAAATGTTTCAGCACATTGATAGTTACATTTTGTCTAAGCTAATGCAAAAGCAGAATCAACACAAGTTTCTCAAGGGCAGGGTTGGCATCCAGGTTACAGTTTTCCAGATATTAAATCAAGTGACAATGATCAAATTCACAAAAATTTCAACCCAACATCAGAGTGCGTGGTCTTAATGATTTCTGCTCGTTTAGATAGACAACACCTGACACTTTGCACTTACTGAGTCGACCATGAAGTTCTTTTTATATCAAATAATTCCTGAGTAAAATGTGAGGCCATCAATTTGTCAGATAAAGTTTGACCTACTAAAGCAATGCTGAAAAGTAGACCGTTCCTTACCGAGTGTGAACAACGATGAGCCACTGAGCTGGGCATTGTTAAGGTGGAGCACTCTGAGTCGGCTGGTCAGCAGAGCTTTAGATAAAGACTGAACTGGGTAGTCAACCAGACACACATTACAAGCATCCAGTCTAGACAGACACACACTCTGAAACCAGAAGATCAAGCAGAAACAGGATGGAAAATGGAACAGAATTGCGTCAGAAAATAATCTGCAGGAAGGGTAGAATTACGTTAATTTAATCCACTAGTTCAAACATGTTATGAAAATAAATGTGTTCAGATCTGTGTCCATTTTTACACTTTATCTTTTGAGTAAAATTGGTGTTTCTGTATACAGTTAAGATTACACGTTGATCAATATTGAAGCAAACCAAATAAACGCAAATGAACGTGAGGAATTTTCTTTGTTTAATAAATCACTTCTGCTTGCCCAATTTTAATTATAGATGTAATAAATATCTTGCACGGCATTGCTATATGTAACAAGCAGCCTTTTCAGTTAATGAAAAGATGGACTAATGTCTATCTAAACATAAAGTTAGCTAGACATATTTCCTACGTGAATTGGTAACTGAAAATTGACTGTTAACAACTCCCTCTAGCATGCAATCCAGTAGCAACACAAACATGTGAAGGTTCCTTTCCAAGTTCCCAGAAGAGTTCTCCTTTCAGATTTGCAAGATGGTTCACTTGCTTTCTTATTGACAAGATGGTTCATTCGGACAATAGGTTAAATCCATTTCCTGGTTAGTTTATCATCGAATGTTTGTCTTCGAAGTTAAAATGTCCCAGTGGGAAACCAAGACATATTATATCTATCTCCAGTGACACTAAAAGAGCTGGTTGGAGAAACCCAATGGGGTACTTAGGACATAAAAATAGCTCAGCAGAAAAGAGATTGGAGCTATTCTGTGTTTAATTCAGAGATAAGCAGATGTAATAAAACTATGAACTTGTACTTTGCTGTCAATGCCGGTCTACTGTTTTCAGTGTACAGCAAAATAAAGAAGTTTGCCTTCCTGCTTTCGTATTGACGAAGACTGAGCGTCAATAAGAAAGCACACAAAGCTGAGATCTGGCTGGTTGTAACCTGTTGTTATCAGTTACCTCCACTGATACAACCTGTGACGCTGCTTTTTTTAATCCTCATCGGGTTTGTGGCTGCATGTGTCTGCAGAGTGAAGAAGACTTCTCGCCGTGTTTGTCCGACCCTGCATCTTCTCTCCACTTAATGCACCACAAACTCACTTTTTCCAGATCAACATTATCCCTGTGAGAAAGCCTACATGGAAAGATTACTGTTCCACTGCGTCAGCCAACCTGCTTTATCAAATGAGCGAGGGCCCTCCAAGATGATGTTCCCATACTGCCGTTGTCAGAAATGTCAAGATGTGTTGTGGATTCATAGTACAAAATCATATCCAGCAAGGACGATGCTCCCTGGAACAGAAAAACATAGTGAAGGGGTGAAATGAAGAAAGCAGGGCCTGAAATTTGACAGGAATGTTATGAAGTTTCTTTGGGAAGGAAAAAAAGAAACAGTTTCTAATCTGATACAAGGAAGGGCCTGAATATGAAACTGTATTGGAACTGGAAGACGAAGACGGGGGAAAATAAGTTTTTGCTCATAAAACTCACATTTTCCTCCAGTTGCGCTGCCTGCAGATTGATGAAATCAAAGTGCAGCGATTTCAGGACGACTTCCAGAGCTTCACAGGAGCGGTGGTCTAATCGCTCACCTTGATGGAGGCAAGCAATCAAAGACAAGATAATTGGGAGGCTGTTTGCTAACAGGCAAAATTGCACCGCTCTGAACATGTTTTATCCTTTTTGTGAAATGAGTATTTCAGCATAAAAAAAAAAAAAAATCAGGACAAAACAACTTCCTTTACAGTCGGAGTTTACCTGTGTGTTTATGTTTTTCTTTTAATAAAGTTCTGAAACTTAATCAGAAACACAGAGGGAAAATAATGATGATAGCTCCGGTTTTTCATGATTGGACTTCCAAGATGTGAATGCTCGAGTGTGCATTGATTACTGTCTGCCTGCAGACTCCAGTAATCAATAAAAGTACCTGTGCACAACAGCTTAACTTCTTGCAAAAGATAAATATTTTCATGTTTCTTTACCACAGGAAAAAAAATCAAAATGAAAAATGAAAAAAGTACATCAAAGCCAAAAGATCATGTTTGAACTGAAACTGTAACTACATCAAGCATTTCCAGTTTATTCTTCCTCACATGTCCTTTTATATTACTGTACATATCTGTTGAAGTTGAAGTCACATAGATACATAGTAACATAGGGAGAACAAACATCCCAACATGTTGTATTGGCCACAAGAAAAAGGAAACTTCTCAAACCTATGAAAAAACAACAAAAGAAGCAGATATTTTAGATGTTCCTCCTGGATTTCTAGCCTCATTGAATCCAATAAGCTCCTGGGATGAAATCCTGGTATGGGCATTTCTATGTGGAGAATAATTTTTTCTTTAGAAATTGTTGCATTGTTACAAACTTGCAAGATTTTATTTGTGTCTACTGCAGAGCAGAGGTTATTTTTGAGGCTGGAATATTCATTTGTTTTGAGAACGGGAACATGGATGCACATCTTTGTGTTCTGTATCAGAGACCTTTGCTAATCACCATTTCATTCAGAATGAGTGAAGGCTTGGTTTGTTGAGTGAGCACTCATAATTATTTTGTCATTTTAATGTGAACTTTGTAATCTGATTGTTGTTATTACTGAACCTTGATCAGTAAGTTGTCCAAATTAAACTGTTACTGGTCAGACAAATTTCTGTGACTTTAAAGTCTTTTAGTTTCAGGTTATTTTACGTTAAATGTTATAGTCACAGCTAAAAGAGAGGGATAATAATAATTATTATAACCATTTCCAGAGCACCCTTAACTCCCTCTGTTTTAACACTAATCACCTTACTGAAAGATGACAGAAGGAAGATAATAACATGGAGATCCTCGGATGTCAGACGTGATCAGTGATTGTGATCAGTGATCAGGTGTTTTATTTCACAAACACCTTCACCCTACTGTTGTTTTATTAGGAAGGACCTGTGTGTTGAAACATCATAAACAAACATGGAAACACAGTTTTCCTGTGGAAAAACAGAGCTACTGTGTGAGGGATACACCCTGGACTGGCCACCAGTCCATTGCAGTCTTTATACATCAAAGTTAATATTTTACGGTTCGAAGATTATGATAAAGTTTTGACAAGCTCCAAGGAAAGTCCCTTGTCAGACTTCGACATCACATTTTCAACCAGACTCGCTTGGGACATGAGCGTTGTAGGCTGTAAACCATAGAGATGTTTATCGTCAAAAAGGGGCCGTGAGTCCCAGTATTGGCGGTAGCATTATTCTCGGGTGGCACCATCTTCTGGTGAGTAGGTGCTCAAACGGGAGAATCAGTCAAGGTTCTGAACCAGGCCTGGTTGTAGGAAGATGCTACACAGGTTGTGGTGAGGATGCAGGAGAGAGTCTCCGGTTAAAGCCTGGAGCAACATTTTGATGGAACAAGCACCCCACAGTATGGCACAGTCTTCAGCAAAGTCCTGATTGCAAAACACAGTTGGACCAATCCTTAATGAAAAAAACAATAAAAAAGGCTAAAAAAACAATGAAGAGGTCAAAATGATCTTAAGAAAAAATAAACAAGAAAATGATGGACAATAAAACATAGAAATAAATCAAGTTTAATCGGAACAAAACCAAAATCAGACTGTAAACATCAAACCCAAGAAAATCATAACAAAACCAGACACAGAAATCACAAACTGTGACAAAAAAAGGAGAATAATTAGAACCCATGGAGTGCAGCAGAGGCACCAGTCTGTTCTTGCCTCCACTAGGAGCTTTACTGGTAAATTTCCAGTCATAATCCGACAACAAGCCATAAAAGTAAAACAATCGTGTAGTTGTAACTGCATATGAGGCTTTGGTAATGGAGAACAAACTCCTTTCTTTCATATTTTACTTATTCATGTATTTCTTTTTTTTTACATTTACATTTTTGTTCAAACATGTAAAGCATTTTTAAAAGCAGTGAATCTGTTGTGAATGTGACATAAAGTCATATTTAATGAAGACAGAGTGAGGCGCTCATCTTACCTTTGAGATCCAGACATTCAACGCTGCCTCCTCCACACACACCCTGCTGAGAGAGACGGGGAGAGGTGTGAGGAAGAGCTGTGAACACACACGATATACACACACACACACACAGAAATGCTCCGTGCTGTCTTTCTGCACGGCCTTTTCCATCCACCGTGGCGGTTTGATCAGGGAGGCGCATTGGACGCCGGAGCATGAATTATGAATTTCACACAGTTTACTGCCGCCGTCGATGCTGGTGACACGGCGTCCTAATTAACCAGTGTATAATAATTAGAAACAGCTGGTCATCAGTTGATGTGTTCATTTGCTGGAGCCAGTGTTCCACATACATCTAATTTGACTGCATCAATCACCGGAGGTGGCAGATTTGTGCGGTGGTGGAAAACACGCTGCTTTCTTTTTTTTTTTTTCTTTTACTGACAAGCAAAACAGGGTGACTGAGATCTTTAAAAAGCCTGTTCTACATAAACAAGGGCTTGTAAGATCATGTCGTATGTGTATGTTGTAACTGGATGTGGATTTTTATAGCTGTAAGTTTGCAAATGGACATTGAGATTGTGGCCTTAAATTAGTTTTGATTCTGTAAATGTAGCTTGAAGGTGATTTTTGATGTCATCTGTAAAAAGCCTGAACATCACTTTGTGGAAGCTCCAGTGAGGCTCCACCAGGGGGCCCCATTAGTGTGCAAATTGCACTAATTGTTTTTTTTTTAAACTTACACTAACATAAATTTTGAAGAATATCTTTACAAATTTACGAATTAAGAGCTATCCTGTGTCTATTTCTTTGACAGGTCGGATTAAAAGCTGTGAAGTGGCCTTGTTACCCCCCTAAACTCTTGATTTTTGACAGCTTCTACCCTCTGGATACATCGCTGGATTATTTGCAGCGTGTTTTCTTTACACTCCCGATTACAACCCCCTTTTCGTAAAGACACACCAAGTATGAAAGGACTTGGAGGACAAAAGGATGGCGGCAGCAATGTTCTCCTGTTGAAATTAGACTGATCAATAGGACATAAACTGCTCTGTCTGTGTGTGCGTAATTGGTTGACGTGCCTGAATTTACCATGAAAAGATCAAGATGCACACACACTCACAAGCTGAGTGCATGCACGATCCGCTTCCACTGTGACAGTTGGTGAAATTACTGATAAAAATATAACAAGCGGGATTTGTGAGGCAGGCTTGACAGTATTTACAATGTGCTTTTATTTAGAATGATTTTCTTCCATTTAAATTTTATAATAAAATTTTTAGGGGTTCCCACCGCTCTTTCATTGCTGCTGTGATTTTCGTCAAGGCAACAATGACTGATTAAAGTACAAGGATAGGAGTTGTAGGGAGGGAATACGTTTTCCCACTGATGATGAAAAAATAAAACATTTTTTTAAGAAAAACAACATTATCCTTTCATAACATCCTTTACTATCACATATGTAGTTTTTAGGTTGCTTATTTTTATAGGTTGTATAGTTTTATATTTATTATTTCATCGCAGGCTAATGTCACTGCGATTACCATTTTAACAATAAATCTGGTTAATTTTGATAAAGGCAATTTGAATATTACTTCTTAATAATTAACATATTAGGAGCAATTATCTAAAAGTAATAAAATTATACCATATTCTTATTATTATTGTTGATATTATTATTAAGGATGTTTATTTATTTTACCAAGCAAATCTCATTATAATCTCATTGTAAAAAAAAAAAAAAAAATAGAAACAGGAAATGATTTGATCTTTTGATTCATTATTTAACTTATTTATGTTTGTTTGTTTTGAGTGAAAACTGGAGGCTGGTGTAACATATGCAGGCAGCAGTCTCTCGCAGCAGATTGGAGGATTCATTCTCTCGCTCTGCTGTCGTCGTCTTTTGACTTTAAAAGGGTAAAGCGGGTTCGTCTTGTTCCTGTGCCGCATAACAAAACTGCAGAGTTTAAACTGTTTTTGAGAAAAGACCACGGCAACAGTCTGAAACAAAAAAATCACGCATATTTTCACCTGAAAAACTAACTGTGTTACATATATTGTAATACATTTCATCATAAGAATAGATGATTTTGACTTTTTTTTGCATTTGAAACTTTTTTTCCTGCATATCAATAAATCTGAAATACCGTTCATATAATAATAAATGATTCAATTAAATAATCAGATCAGAATAAAATGTAAAACATAAATCATAAGGGTACACATATTTTCACATTTTAATTTTGAGAATTTTTATGTTCTAAAATACCTATTCACGTTTTTAATATTTTTTCCCAGACATGAACATGTTTTGCAGTTCAACTTTTGAAATACAAATACAATTAGAAAAATAGTGTCCTTTTTCCTGCTTCATGCAAAGACTAAAAAAATGTAAATATCAACTTCCTGTGGTAGCAATCTCCTGTAGGTGGCGCTCTAGGCCACTGCCTTTCCTTCGAACTGCTTCGAGATATGTGAGATATGCTCTATGGAATTTGTTCAAAATAAGTTGCTTCTTAGGGAAGATCTCTCACTTAAGAACACATAAAACGTCTTTCTTTTTTCACTGAAGAAACTCAACGGAGGTGAAAATCCTGCCGAGGTAATAATATCAATCATATTTCTCTTTTTTGTTCTATTATCACCTGGTTTAGCTGTGGGATTCCAGCATGAAACTTCTTAAAAGAAATGTTGGCATTCTGATGCAATCCCTGTCCTGCTTTTCTATTTCATTAGTTAATCCACATTATTTTTTAGAAATCGCCATGTCCAGCTTGGGAAGAAGTTGCGTTGATCATAAATCCAACAGACAGTAAGAAGGTGAACTTCATCTCACACACAGTGAAACATCTTCCTTCCCACAACGGGCAGGCGGCGGCTGTTTCTCATCTTAATGAATTTCTGAACTTGTTCGTTCATTCCCTCTTTTCTGCCGAAAAAAATAAAAAAAATAATAAAAAACAAAACAAACAAAAAAAACAAGGCGTTGGCTGCCAAAGCAATTGACGTGTCAGGAGGGAGGAAGGACAAAATGGAGTGATAAAGGCGTTCACACACATTTCTCCACAAAGAGGAAAAAAAAAGAATCTGGATTCCAAACTCCGCTGCCACAGAAATCCTCTCTGGTGCCTCCGCTCTGCCTCTCCGGACGGCTTTGTGCTAAAAAATGTTTGAGTTCACCAGTTTTCTCTTTTCTGTTTCTTTAATTAACTGACAGACACCATAAATAACTGATATATATTTATATGTTTTAGTGTTTGACAGCTCTTCAGGGTTAAAAATCAGGCCCACTCTGTTCCTTTCAGCATCTTTTCTGCACTGAAGGATAAATAATTTAAAACAACACAACCTTTTATCTCGTGCTCTTTGAAGGCGGCAAATTAAAAATGTAAATTGGGACCTAATTAATATGCAAATGTATTCATTTGCTGTTAACAATTAGCAATTAAAGCTGCAGTGTCTAGAAAGAGCTCAGACAAAATTAGTAACTTCATTTATCATTAAAAAAAAAGAGAGATCTAAAAGCAAACATAAAATTGTAATTGACTTTCAGAGCGTTTCCTTCTGTCTCAAGCTTTGTTCGTCCACCGTGTTTTTCTCATGTGTGATAGTGTGCGTTTAGCGACTTAATTAAAGCCACTTTGTGTCAAAGATACCGTCCCCTTAAATGGCTGATGTCAGGAATAATGTACACATCCGAGGATGAGGCAACCACTCCAAGTGGAGCTGTGTGTATATGAGTGCGTGTGCGTGTGAAATGTTTGAGCTGAATTTCAGATTCAGTTCTGCAGTTTTCACGCTCTCTGGTGAAATCAGACCCAATGCTTCAGTGTACACCATGTTTAATGGAGAAAAAAGAACGCAGCAGGGACGATCGGCACATTTCTGATTAGAAATACAAATTATTCCAGCATCAGGAGAGGTTACCAGCACATCACGTCCTGTAGGAATCTTCACAATACCTGTCCCTGTCTGCATCCTTGTAAATGTACATGATTAGTTCCTCAAACATAGATCCAATGGTTGTTGCCAGGAAGATAAAATCCCTCTGCCAAATGCATGATTCTTAAAAAATTCCTAAACGAGGAATTTTTTAATTCTTAAGAAGAAGAAGTCTTCTTCTTAACGTGAAGAAGACTTGAGAACAAGCCTCCTCAGAAACTGTGACTCTGGAACATTCAGAGAGATACAGGCTGGAGGTTTTCAATCGCAAACATGTTTCTTTGAGTTTTCTTTGTTTTTGTCTGAGAAAAATTGGACCACCCAATAAATGCAATTTTAAGATATTGACAAGAAGAACTCTCCACAATCCTTTTTGTGACTACAAGTAAAAACTTGTTTTCACAATAAATTACATTTAGAAAAGCAAAATAAGAAAACCAATGGTAACATCTTAGCTGGTCCGTTCTAACCTGTTTGAAGTGCAGCAGAATCATGAGTGCCTTCACACTCAAATGAGGTTTTCTAAATCTGTCTTGATTTGAACAAACATGCACATTTCATGCTAATGCATTCAGAAAAATCTTTCTGTATTTGTGCCATTCAATTCTTTCTGCATGCGACCATTTTTTATTTTTAGTGACATCATGATGAGACTAAAAGATCTCCTTTTTTATGTCTGAAAGGATTTACTCTGGAATAAAAATTGGACAGCTGACTATGAAATCCATCTCCATTCGGTGACTTTAAATCTGCAACCGGGTGATTAGCAGATCATTTACATGAGCTGACAGATGTGTTTTTGTTAAAATGTGGTCATTGTGGTGCTGAAGCCTCTCCTCTCACCGAGTCCAGGCCTGTAATATTATCCCACTTACAAAAGCTCTCATATTCCACTCAGTCAGGCGTGGAAATTCAATTCGCCCTAATAGTGCCCCACCAATAGTGCATCACACATGCCTTTTACTTTAACTGCAACTGTTCCCAATTCAATTAGGCGCAGAGCATGTAAAGTAGAGTCTTTTACACATAGACGAGGTTTTATCCTTTTTTCTCCCCCCAGTTCAGCACGCTGGTTCCCAGATGGCGTTTAGGGAAATTGTGTGACGCTGGAACGGCTGCGGAGGTTGTGTGTTTTAAATAAAGCACGGCTGTGAATACGTGCGGCCTGTGGTGATGCTCATCCCGACTTGAACTCCCTGCTTCTCCTTCAGCCATGATCGTCGTTTCAAATGTGCCACTAAGTGCCCCGTTATCGCCGCCTCGGCCTGTAATGAGAGGAGCGACATATGTCCGGTCCTCCTGCTGCTTCCTGATAACACGGATACCAGGAACTCTCATCCACATCCTCCTCCCTCCACCTCTCCGGGCTTTTATTTTGCTGCTAACAACCAGCCAGGAAAATAGTGCAGCACTTACTTAGTGACATTTACCTCGACTATTCCACACGAGGGAGGGGTGCTGCAATAACAATCAGCATGCATTTAATTTAAAAGGAAAAAACTCCAGCCTTTGGAATCACACAGGCAGAAGGGCGCTTGGGGGGGCAGTGTGAGGGGAGATGCTTTCTGTGTGTGTTTGTGTGTGAGAAGACTTCCGCAGTGCAACATTAATGCTAATCAACAGAGCTGAGAAAGCAGCGGTGGTCTGTAAAAACAGATTTTCTCTTGTCTTTTCATTTCTGGAGGGATTCTCGTTCTTTTCCCTCCCCCAATCCTCCCATCCTTCGTCCTCAGAGGGATTTATCCCAGGAAAATACAATTTCAGGGAATTGAATTTGACCCTGATTTAAAGCCAGACATCTACTCATAAATATAGTGTGGTCTTTTTTTTTTTTTTTTGAAACCGTTGGCAGTGGGATAAATAATGAAAGTTAAGTTGTGGTAATTGATTTCTCCTCAGTCCACTCAACTGAATAATCTGCAAGGGAAACAAGCACTAAGCTGTTCATTAGAAGATTTGCCAACATGCAACTAATTCTAAGCTTATTCTCCAAACATCATGGAAAGAATACAAACTCACACTTAAAGCTTGCTAATCTGGAATCCGTTTGTAACAGCGAGTTGGAAGATGCTTCTCAGGAAGCATGTTGAAATTAAAACTGTGAGTCAGCCTGTCGGTTTAACTCGAGTTAATGGGAAACAGCTGATTGTTTTGTTTTTGCTGTTTATAATTTACTGAATTACCAAACAGAGAGCTATTTGGTAAACTTTTCAATGTATTGCAGTTACTGAAGTGTTATGAGTTGGGAGTATTTTTCTTCAGTGATAATCTTTGTCATTCATTTCTGGGGGTAAAATTGCACCTTTCACCAGCTTGATCTAAATAATGTTTAATATCCATTATTTTCCTGAACCAATCGGAATATGCCCAAATAACACAGGAAAAAGCTTGACAGGAGTAAAACATTAGACTTCATGTTCAAAAGATGGACCAGAGGGTTGTCTGGCATTTAACTTGCATCAGATCTCCAAGGGTTCTGATAGTTCTCATCCAAAAGTAATGAATCCCTGGACAACGCCATGCAACATGCACAAAACAGCCCCAGAGGCAGAGCGAGCGTTAAGTGTCCGGTGCCAGAACAACAAGATGCCCAATTCTTGGTGGAAGAAGGGCTTTGTGAGCAAATTTTAAGAGTAGATATTGTAGATTTGGATTGTTTTGGCACAAACAAAACTAAAAACACAAACAAGCTTCAAATCCCCCATCTGTTCCATATTGAAAAACTCTTTGTTCCAATCTTACATTCCAGATAGGTGACTACCATTGGGAAATGATCATAACTGTGATAAGCAATGTAGCCATGAGGGCTTTTAATCCAGCTCAAAATGCTCACCAATGAGGGTCAAAGAAAAGAGAAAGGGTATCAGTGCTAAACTGAGGTAAACATGTTTTGTTTTTTGCTTTTCTTTTTTGTCCAGCACCAGTTCAAAATTGTGTTTTTTTTTAAAAAAAAAAAAAAAAATATTCCAACTGATGCACCGTTTAACATCAAGCATTAATCTCTGGGAGGGAAGATTTTATCTTGACTAATGATCTACAACAAAATAGCAAAACATTCAAACAACTGAACGTGACATATTGTTCTTCTGATGACAAACTATCTCTAAAGTGAGCTTGATTAGATTTTTTACAGAAAGATCAAACTTTTAGGTTGGAGGGTTTGAGGTAAATCTTACAGTATAACATTATATTTTTAAAACTTAAATTTGCAGTTGTGGGTGGATGGATTATTGTGGTTATTACAAGGAACCCACATATTAATTTTTCTTCTCTAACTTTTCAGCATCTTGGCTTCCATCGGTTAAACCCATCAGCATCCTTTATGCTGGTAAGTTTTATTACAAATGTGCAAAGTGGGAATTCACAAACTTTTTCTGTGAAACTTTAGAGAAGTTTCTGTTTTCAGAAGTGATCTGAAGTTATTGCAGAAACTCTGACCTTTACTGTTGTAATTGAAGCGGCTCCTGAAGTGTTTAAAACATTCCTCCGTTAAGCTCCTTCTTCATTCAGAAGCCGTCGTTTAGAGCCGGTTTGATCGGCCTAATTACTTTTTTAATCACAGAGACCGGCACTCGAGTTCACACAGTGAAATCAGAGTCAAAGCGGGGTGGCCTCCACCCCCGCTGGCTCTAACCTAATATTGTTTACCACTCTTATAAAGATGTCACCAGCAGCAGCACTGTTTTATCCACTTGCAGTATTTCAAAGAAGTGCAGAGGGCCTCGTGGGTTCTTAAAAAGCTTTAAATAGTCTTCAGCGCTGATCCTCAGGGGGATCGCCGCACGCCTTAAAAGACCTAATTTAATAAATTTGCTCTTTAGGCGTTCTTCTTTTCGATTTGCATCGTCTTATTACAGATTCATTCACATGCTAGCCTTTTTTTAGGTCTAAATATCTCCCCACTTTGTGAATGTTTAAACATACATATTTTTACTGTTTCAGGAAGACCACCTACATTTGTTTTCAATGCAGCAGGGTTCATTAGCACCTCGGCCTCTGTATGCCTAATGTTAGCGTGGCTGAGTCTCTAATTTCCCACAAATAATTCTCCTTGATCTTCAGTGAAATTTATGCAGCAGTGGAGAGGTGGAAAGCAGTGATTTATGGTAGGTTAGAATAAAGTGATTATGTACATAAAATTAATAATAAATGGCAAAGAATGTCTCAAGAAACTGGAGGGCAAAAGAGAGTGTTGCGTATGTGAATAAAGAATATTAGAGAGAGTGAAACTGAGTTTACACAAAAAAATTCTGCACACCATGGAAACTGGAAACTATTGCATTTGGGATCCGATATTTTAAGATTAATTAAATCTTTGTCTGGTAAAAATCAACAAACTTCAAGTGATGGAGATGATAAAAAGGCTGAACCCGCAAATTCTTTTGGTTTGTCAATAACATGACATTTTAAAATTTCTTTAAATTTTTAATTTAAACTATAAAAATTTCTTAAATTTTAATAGGGAGTGGTTAGGTCCCTATTTTTCCCCACTCCACTTTTTTATGAAATAATCAGGATCTCATACACATCCTCTGTCTCCTGCTTATCCAAGATCAAAAGTTTGGATAAACTCAGACGTGAGTAACACTCTTAAACTTCTTTGATGTTCAAACCAGGAGGAATTTAAACTCTCTGTAGTCAGTTCTCAATCGTCATCACATGTTCCAAAGGTCTACCATAAGCATTGATTTTCTGTATGTAAAATTATTGTAAAGATGTCTCTATTAGTTTCCATAAGAAAACAAACAACAACAAAACAATTAGATAGCTGCAGCTAAGCTCTACTCTCAGAATCCTGACTAACACTAAGCAAATTAGACTATAATGCAATTTTTTTTAACTTATTTTTATTTTTCAACACCCAAACATGCTGATCTAAATGGAGTAAACTTAGCAACACACTTACTTTGTATGAAAATTAGTATTTTCTTATAAAAATTAAGGTTTAGAATGTTCTCTTTTATATTGTTAAGTCCAAAGAAACAGATTTATGAATAGGTTTGTAAACTAACCTGACTCAGGCTGCTAGAACCAAATCATTTACATTATACAACAACATATATTCATACTCGACTTGCCTATAAAGTGTTTCTCTACCTCTGTGAATCTTAAAATCCTTTAAGTTTTAATCAAAGCTGTAGCCTACATTTGGCTGTGACAGGCTTGACTTGCGCTGGGTTATAGTGTTCCTATTGATCTGTTTTTGGAGAACTGTAATGTTGTTCCATGTTGCAGTTATTTTATGTGCAGAGTTGCTGATGCTGCTTGGAAGCAAATGTACATTTTCTTTAAACCAATATTTCACTCCGAAGCTTTGTCTCTGACAATCAGCATCAAAAGCCGCTACATGGTGAAGGCTGTTGAGCTGCATGGCTACCATCACGCCATCAAATATTATCAAATGTCAATAAGATAATGTTGTGGAAGACACATATGAGCTTCTGGAGCTTTTACACACTCACAAGACAATGACCAGATTCTGCTCCCTTAGTTACTTTTGAAAAACAGTTTATTTTAAAAGAATGTCTGTCAACCTGGGTATACATCTGTCTGTTCCATACAGCAAATTGACAAAACTCACTTTTTGATTGGGATGCTTGCTTTGATGGGGATGAGTGAATCAATGCATTTGATTAGCAGTGTTTGATTTTTTACTCTCCCTTTTAAATCTTATTGAAGCATTGGGGATGGAAATAGCTTTTGTTGCATGGGCTTTACATTGGAGTTAATTTTGAATACTCACAGTTTCACTACTGTAAACATTTACACGAAAGACATTATGCAACACACCTGGAGTTGCTGGAGGATGCTCTCTTTGGGTTGGACCTGGTGTTTACTGCAGCTCTGCTGATAAGCTCCAATTACATCCATTAGGGTGATACAGCTATCGTCTAAAGTAATAAACAACAAAATAGTTTTTTATATTTCTCAAGTCATCTAAAATGAGCTGAAAAGAAACATGTATATGTTCTGCCATAAAATACTGGTACAAAGTTCAATTTAAATGAAAACCTCATTGTTTTTGCCCTCCACTGGGATTCCACAAAGCTTAATACTTGGGCCTTGTTTTTTTTTCTCTTTAATTATGCATTAAGGTCTTCCACTTAAATTGCTTCACATGTCATTGCTATAAAAACAATGTGTGCATAATTCCTACTAAATCAAATAATTGCTTCATCTTGCAAATTCAAATTGTGTTTTTCAAAGAAATTCACAGCTGAGCGGACAGATCACAGTTGATCAGCACTGCTTGTCTTATTTCCTGACTACTTCTCCCTTTTTGATCAGGTAGCTTCACATAACTATTGCCCCTCTTCATTGCTACTTTTTTAGTAAACTGAATGTCCTTTAATTGCAACAAAGTACACAGTAATCATTCGTTCAGTCCTCCTGCAACTGTTATTCAACTACATGTGCAGTTAAACAGCAGCTCACCTGTTCTGCCTGCATCCTCTGCAAAGCCGGACACTATCTGCTCATCAGGAGGGAATGACACATGTTTCCCCCTTTTCTTTCTCTTCTGGTTTCTGTCTGGATTCTCTGTGCAGTCCTCACCACTATCACTGCAGCGTGTCATCACAGCAAGATGGGTAAAAAAAAAAAAAAAAAAAAAGCATGTAGTCAGTTTAGCTCAGTCAATGTATGAGACCAAGATGTGGGAAAGGAAAGTGAAGTTTTCCTGATTTAAAAGAGGAAGGGGGACAAACGGGAGCCCACTTCCAGCTGCTCGCCTTGCTAGATGGCACCTGGAAACAATGCACTGAAGAACCAATATATTATTCATGAGTTGTGCTCCAGGTTGCAGGTGATACTCAATATGTTCGTATCAAATGACACATTCAAAACACATAAGACTTGCAACATTTACATTGCCATTTGAATGCAGAATCCACAACATTCAGGAGATGGGCTGCAAAGGTGAAGGATTTTTTCCCCCCTATTTCATTTTGAGAAAAGCATCACACACACTGATGTCTTTTGATTTTCCACAAAGAACAACACTGAACAAAAACTCCTCTGATCTCAGAATTGCATGCTGTAATGGTAGCCATTTCTAATCTTTTATTGCTTCAGTAATATTCTTGTGTTCTACATTTTATTTTAGACGGCACAAAATACTAAGGGAAACATGAACTAAAGAGGTTAATTTGAACAGGGAAAGGAATTTGAAAAAAATATGGTAATTTCAGTAAGTGGCCCAAGGCATCATAATCACGTGTTCTTTCAAATGAAGTGAATCCACAAAACATGTTATTTTATTTTAAAATAAACTTCATACGGAACCTCTGACTGTCCAGTAAAAGTAGACGTTTTCAACTAAGCTTAAGCTGTCAGCTAAAAGGATTCACATTTAACCTCTAGAGAGGTGTATAACTCTTGGCTGACTAGTTGAAGAAAAGGTCGGCCATTCGGCTGCAAAACTGGGCCCAAATAATCTGCCCTCTATTATGGGGCACAGAAACACTTTATGGGAACAAGGCATGCACTAATTTATAATTTCTAACTTAATTAAAAAGTAGGGTTTTCAACGAAAAAATAAATTGTTTTCTTCTACATTTTTGATTAACTTTACGAGCCTGGAACTCAAGTTATAAATCGGTTTATTTTGCTGTTTTCTTGGTTGATAATGTGTCATTTTAGGTTTGAGAGCACAGCTATATTTTCTAAGTTTGATACAAATTGTGTTTAAGCATGCTAACAATCTATTTACCACATGAAGTCTTCGTCGGTAGTATTTGGTGCATCCAAAGTGGTTTTGATGTAGGACATTCAAGGCAGAATTGAATTATAGTCCAACGACTTCAAGAAAGGGAATATTTTAAAGAAATAAATCTTAATGTTTTAGAATGTATATGGGGAAATTAGTAGAATATGCATTATTTGTTGTAGGTTTTATTCGGTGAATCATGTTAATCTTCATTTATCATGTATATAAATTTAATTTTAACTCTTAAATAAAATGCGTCTTCAGTTCTTTCTGATGACTGAGGTGTATATTTTGAGTCTGAATGCAGATTTTCCGAGGTGCTTTTGTTTCCTGAACGCACCTTTACGCTCTGACAGTTACGCGGCGTGTTGGACCAACAGAAAGCTGAAGCGCCGTGACGTCGTTTCCTGAGCGGTAGTTTTGCTGCCTGTCTGTCTTCGAACAATTTTAGCCAACAATCAACTACTAAGAACACATCGAGGGTGTGTATTTCTATTTTAATCCTCGACAATTGGTGTTTCAATGGGTGGCATACACACAAGACTTCTAATTTTTAAACGGAGCGGTTGTAGTGAGTCTGCGCAATTAGCATAATGCTAACCAGTGTTTGCTTCAGTTTTGTTTTCACTGCGCCTCACAGGTAGCATTAAGTCCATTTATGTGGTTAAACAGAGGTTCGCATACACTATAAACAGAAACTGATGGCTTGTTAGAGAAGGAACATCCTTTAGTCCGTTTCAGGATCGGCGTTCGACTCTTAAACTTCTCGGATCTTTCTTAGTTTACGTGATGATATCACTGTTTATATCCGGGTTTGATCATCATTTGTTCCCCAGTGTTGAAATCTGTGCACCGAGTGGATGTGGTTTGGTTTGTAACGACTCACCCAGAATCTTCCGTTGAGATCCATCAGCCAGAATTCCTGACTCCCAATTCAATCGTGTGACTGATATAAACATAACAAAGTTGTTTGGTCGCAGAGATGGAAATGTAGACACTCGTACTGCCTCATTATCCTCCCAATGTTCCTTTCAGTTGTGCAGATTCGTCATGGTTGAAAATCTGTGAATTGGATTGTTAAAATGATATGCAGCCAAAGCATTAATGAAACACCTGTCAAGCTTAGGGCTGCTTTTCTTTTCGTGATTTTGCACCAAAGTCAGTCCTAAAACCAGAAATTTGATCTAGTTAACCATAACCATTCAATGAATATGTCATCCTCCATTTGTATTATTTATGATTTTTGTTTAAGTTCACAGCTTCACCTTCACAAATGAAATTACATTGCTCTCCCCATCCATTCAGGCAAAACCCCTAAAGCTACAAATTCATTTATATTTTTTTTTTATGCAGCAACGTCTCAGCACTTAATAATAACAGCTGAAATCAGATCTAAGGTACTCTGAATAGTGGATAGTTTATTAGTATTGTATGATTGAAATGTATTGAAATGATGGTCAGAATCAGCAATGGATTTAATGGAAATTATTTGCTGTAGTTGCAAATTGAATTGCCATTGTGGTGATGGGATGGAACTTGTTAACAACTGGTGACATCAAGATGAACAACAGAAAAATAATAATAATAAAAAAATTTCTATTACTAAGTCTGACTTTCGAACCTCCATGTTTTTATTGGGTTTTTTTGGGGGGTCCTAATTTTTACACTTTAAAAACAATTCAACAATTCAAATTGATCAATTAAAAAAATAACCTTGTGTATCATTTTTGAAAGTATTTTCAAAAATACCAGTTTCTCCATCAATAAAGCTTTTAAGTTTCAGTTTCTGGGCAGAGCTGGCCAATCAGAGCACACAAAGCTTCCTTAAATCAGTTTTTAAAAGAACAATGATTCAGTAGCAAGATACAGCCTGTGAGACCAGCTACTGGAACTTCATTCTTTAAATCTGGAATTATCTCTTACAGCGTTGACTGTCTGTTTCCGATGCCTCCTAAAGCCAAGGCAGTTGGGAAAGGAAGAGCTCCTGCTAAGCGGAAGTTGGCAGAGGAGTTCCCACCTGGAGAAGTCCTGACAGATACTGGAAAGAAGTCCTGGAAGCTGGGTGCTCCAATTGGCAAGGGGGGCTTTGGTCTCTTATACCTGGGTATGAATCCCCCAGCATTTACTTGCTTTTTATCTGGGCTTGTTTGATTTTAAACATATAAATAGGATTACATAAAAGGTTTATTCATGCATAGTTTTTTATTTTCATATGAACATCACCAACTTCTGACATTCACTCTGTTTTTCACCAGCTGATCAAAACTCCGACAAACCCGTTGGACCAGATGCTCCCTATGTCATCAAAGTGGTGAGACAGATTACAGTTGCATTGTTCAGAGGTTCCCAACATTTTTGTATGACACAAACACCTTCTAAGATACTTCCTCTGAAACAGTAAAAAAACTGAGACATCAATAGGTTGTTTTGTTTTCTGTTTGGAGAAATCTTGGATGAGGAGTAGCATATCTTTTTTCTGGAGGGAGTCCAGAGAAACATTATCACTTCAGTAGAAGTGATTTGTAGTAAAACCAGACTGTCTGCCTTATTTACTACAACAGAGTGAAATCTATTGAAGAAGCACAATAAATTGGCCCTTATTTTCTTAGTTTTGGGATATCGGTGATCAGTCTATGAAGTGAAGCTGATCTGAACCAAAGATCAGTAATTGGGTACTGGCCGGAAAACTGTAATCAGTGCACCCCTGAAATCTACAGTTGATAAATAAAAATTCTGTCTGAGAAATTACCTAATTTTAGGTGTTAAACAAACATTAGAATGATTGAATTTGAGGTAAAACTTGGAAAAAGGTTGTTTTATCAACAGATAATTTCTCGTCTCCCATCCACCAACACAGCGCTCCCTCTGTTTGAAAAATGTCTCCTTTGGGTCTTTCTGAAGCTGACAGTAAAATTTCATCCACATAGAGACAAAAACAAAATAAACCAAGAGAGGAAGATTGGACTGATAGCTCAACTTCAAAATCAGAGGAAATTGTGTGCTTTTCATATTGACAATGCATGTGGATCAATGGATGTTAACCCAACTATTAGTCAATTGTAGTTTTTTGGGAAAAAAAACTCAGAACCATGATCCTCGTATGTGGGCTTTCGAACCCTTACCGTATGGCATTTGGTTGCTACTTAACCAGTTAAATGCGGTTTAGATTGCTGGTCAAAAGTAAAACGATGTGCGTTTGATTTTCCTTGTGGTTGAAGGTAAGAATTTATTCCATATTGTCTTAATTTCAAACACTCCAGAACCTTCAGACAGAACTAGAGGAATTTTCTGCAAGTGAAAAGCAGCTTGCGTAGAGATTAGCAGCTCAGAGCCTTAAGCCAAGGTCTTTAGCTGGAAAAGAGTTAAATGCCAGGGTGAGGATGAATTACTGCTCCAAGTTTATAAGTTCTAGTATCTTATGGTTTTGTTGATAAGTAGAGGAAATGGAAGCAGCATCTGTTATGATTTGTGCTCTTTAGAGAGAGCTGAAGTAAAAGGGGAAACTTAGTTATGTAGTCTGGAAAAGTATGAAATTTCATTTGAGCATTTTCCAGACTTTCCTCCATTGTTTAATTCTCCAACCATAAAACCCACAGATTAATAATTGGCAGTTTCATTATTACAAATGTATGAACTGAATCCTGCTGCCAATTGGATATAAAATGAGTACATTTAAGAAATCTGTCCCTTCCTCCATTCAGCTCATACAGGAATATATCCCTGTGGTTTCAGTTTATTTTTCTCATCAGTAAAATTTTTATAAATTAGAACATCCTCTTTTTTTTTCTTTTTATTGGATAAATATGTAGACTAACTCTGGCAGTGGTTGATGTGTCCGTAGGAGCCGAGTGAGAACGGACCGCTCTTCTCTGAGCTGCATTTTTACATGAGAGCTGCCAAGCCGGATCTGAGTGAGTCCCATCATCATCATCATCACCATCATCATCCATCAGCTCCCAAAGCTAACCCTGTGATCAGAACACATAGCATGTCTGCAGAAGGCCAAGCAAATAAAACAAAGGCAACTTTCTTAATTAAAATCAGTGTGTTGCTGCAGAGGGTTCCTCTGAGGGAGGGGAGAGCAGAGCTCTCCTCACCCCCAGGCCGCCGCTCTGCATTTTATATAATAACAATCCAAATGTCAATCTCCCCTGACAATTAACTGCTATATTACTAAGGAAGCAAAGGTTCATCTTTTATTCATGTGGGACTCTCACGTTGTTGGTAAATATTTGTCCCAGCAGCAGATTAGCTCCCAGCCATGCTGGACAAACACCCTTCAATCACACACACCTTACAACACACAGAACTGTTATCTCATGGTGTTCCTACTGCAGTAAATCATAGTTTTCTTTGGAAGTCTGAGCAACCAGACCATCTCTAATTTAATTGTTTCCTCTTGTTGTGCAGTTCAGAACTGGTTGAAGGCTCAGAAGCTGAAACATGTGGGAGTTCCCAGGTACTGGGGCTCAGGTCTGCATACCAAAGGGGACAAAAGGTGAATTGAGGATCATTTTTTTATGTTTTACAGTATGACTGTAATCATCCTAGGATACTAGGATGGGCTTGAATCTCAAATGCTTCTACATAAAATAACTGATGAAAGAATTTAACTTCTATTGGGTTTGTTGAGGAAGCTCATTCAGTGCAATTAAACTTAGCCAAAAGTTTATGTATATATAATAAATTGAAGCAGATACTAGTTGATTAGATCACATTTCAACATTTTACACATCCGTCTACTAGTTGCAAAAGTAAGAATTATGTTTCTGTTGGGTTTTTCATCCAAGCGTCTGTTTTTTTTTTTTTTTTTTTTTTTTCAGGTACCGCTTCATGGTGATCGACAGGCTCGGGACTGACCTGCAGAAGAAGTTCGAGGAATGTGGAAAGAAATTCCCTAGAAAACTGGTCCTGCAGCTCGGTCTTCGCCTGGTGGGTCAAGTCATTCCAGTTCTTTCATTTTCCTTTTGCAGCTTCTACCGAACTCTGAATAAATGGAAAACATCTGAGGTGCTTCCACAAAACTACATAGTTTTTATACTTATAAAATGTATAAAAACATTTTTGTAGTTTTTTTTCATAAATTATAAATTTAAGTTATTTCTTTTTAAATAAATTTTTAGTTTTTATAAATTTGCAATTTATAAAAAGTATATAAAAAATAACAGCAAAGCAGTTGTCAAACATTGCTGCATACTGTTGACGTTATGTCTGGAATGTCAAAATTAGGGATCATTGCTAGCAACATGGAGAACACAGAAAACACTGACAGAAAAATCTCCCACGTGAAATCCAGATCAAAAAGGAAAGATTAATATGCTGAACATCTAGTAAGAAGAAAAACTAGGAGAAATATCTTAGAACTGTAGCTTGAAGACCTAGCCAACCAGCACCCAAGAAGGAATTTAAAATTTAAAGGTCTCTGTGGTGAACCAAATCACCCAGTTATCCACCATAGTAGTGAATGTCTGCTTGTGAAGGAAATTCCAGTTCAAACACTGAAATTCAGATTCATGCAGCGCTCGTCATCTCCTCATCCTCCCTGTTTCACTGTTTAGCTAGACACTCTGGAGTTCATCCATGAGCACGAGTACGTGCACGCCGACATCAAAGCATCAAACCTGCTTCTGAGTCACAAAGATCCCAACCAGGTCAGTACCAATGAAACCAGCACACTGTGGGTTAAAGATCAGAAATGTTCTTTGTTGATGAGAATTAGTGTTTTCTCTGACCGCAGAGATGATTATGTTTATGTGTGTGTATCTGTGTTTTTTTTATTGTTAGACACTCAAACTGCTTCATTAGACTCAATTAAAGCCTGCAGAGCTTGTGTGTGTGTGAGATTAAAAGGAAACAGCTTTGAGATTTTTCCAGCAAACAAGGTGGGGGTGGGGGCAAATATTTAATTTGGAGATTAATAATGTATCAGTGGTGTTGTTATTAAAGAGCTATTTATAAATGACAATTTAAAAATCAGCCCTGCGGGATTTCAGCATCATGTAGAGTGGCTGTTTTTAGATTTTTTTTTCAATGCTCTTAAAGCTCCCTTTTCTGAGCTACAGGGTTTTCACACAGCTTCTTTATTAAAACCCAAACAGACTCAAAGTTTCTGATATCTGCTGCTATTTATGTCGATCTCTGAAGAAGATAGAGTCATCTCTTCTTTCTGCTTTCTAACAGATAGAAATTGACCATTTTTGTCACCAAAAGTCTTGAATTTTCACCACAGTTTCTTGGTTTCAGTTTCTCATCTTGTTTTTTGAGAACTGACCATAGGATTACCTCGCTGGGGTCAGAATTTGAAAATTTTGCATGACCATACTTGTGTTTCCATTCACAATACAATTGCTCAATTGGACTTTTCAAAAATAAATTAGCTTTATGGAAATGCACCAATCTCGAAAAAACTCCTGTGTTTTGAAGAAAAGTTTTGCCGTCAAGATGAGGTGGTCTTTTTTTGGTCATATCAAAATGTAATTATTTTCCAAAACTGCATTGAAAGTAGATTTTTGAACGTCTCGCTAGTGACATGATCAACAACCGGATGTTTCCATTGGCACAAACCATGAAGAAGAAATCAGAAATCAAATCATAAAGTAGTTGGATGATGATGGCGTGGCATGTTTTTTTAAAATGACTTATGTGAACAAACTTATTCAGATGTGGTTGTAATTACGGTTATTTAATGGAAAAATTACAATTGCAAAATTGTGTTTTTTTGACATTAGTGGAGTATCACCAAAGTTTTACGCACAATTGAAAGGCAAGTTATCAACCTTTTTTTTTCTTTTAATTTGTTATTGCCAAATTTTGAGGAGTCTATATTAATTGTTCCTAAGAATTAATATAGATTCATCAGGACTTAATAAAAATCTTCCCGTGTCTGTTTCTTGTTGTAATTTGACTGTTTTGTCCAACCTGGAGGAAACTGTACAACACTATCTCATCATGCATCACACCAAGTTTTCTTCAGCTTCTTCTTAACGTCCGACTACACTCCTTAGTCTATAAGGTGTGTAAAAGAACGTATGCGCCGTCTTGCAGGTTTACCTGGTCGATTACGGGCTGGCATACAGGTACGCACCTGACGGCGTCCTCAAGGAGTACAAAGAAGATCCAAAGAAATGTCACGATGGAACCATTGAGTTCACCAGCATCGACGCCCACAAAGGAGCATGTAGGTCCAAATGATACAATCTGGTTGATTCAATGTTTTTAGATTAGCCTTTTCTTTCACGCAGTAAGATGAAATTATTTCTCTGTTAATCTCGACCAATCTTGGTAAGGAATCTCAACGGTGTTGTATGCTCAGTAGTGATAATAACATAAAAAATGGCTTGCGCAGTGTTATTACTTTTATGGATCAGTGATGTGGTGAGTGAGGGGTTGATATGTCCAAGCCTGTGTGTTAAAGTCGGAAGATGCTCAGGAATTAGATTTATATTGATTTTATGATGGGAAAACAAAGTAAATAAGGGGATTTAAACAGTGTCTTATTATATCAGAGTGGACTTATCGTATTCCTTTCAGCTGTTCCCGGTGTGATTGAACTTGCTGTGTTTCTTTTTTCTTTTGGCTGCAGCTCCCTCCAGGCGCAGCGACCTGCAGATCCTCGGTTTCTGCATGGTCCAGTGGCTCTGTGGTCAGCTCCCCTGGGAGGACCGTCTACAGGACCCGCTATATGTCAGAGACTCCAAGATCAGGTGGGACTTGGGGCAAAATCCAGGCTGCAGCTGGAATTGTTTGGCTTTCTCCAAATATCCTAAAAATGCATTAAATGTTTTCCCCTCACAGGAGTCAGGAAGACATCTCTGGTTTTCTGTCCAAGTGTTTCCCCCCTCAAGAAAAAACAGGTGAGAAGAAAACTGAAGGTTAACTCTTTATTCCAGTTTTAAAAGGCAACCAGGTGCTAAAATGCAACAGCAGTTGTAATTTTAGGTCACTTGTTTTATTAAGACAGGAAATTGGTGTTTTTGTGTTGGCGGTCTCCTCTTTAAGGCGGAACCATTTGATCTTCTTCCTTCTGTCATAATGTATCTGAACATGATCATTTATATGGCTGTATAATTGAGGCTGATGCAGGTGTGCTCATGTTCTAGAAGAAATCCAGAAGTTCATGGAGGAAGTGAAGTCTCTAGGCTACAAAGACACACCGCCGTACAAGAAGCTGCGATCCATCCTGCAAAACGGGCTGAAGAGCATCCAGGCGAAAGATGACGGCCAGCTGGAGTTCACACCTGTCAGCAGAGTGAGAACACCTCCTGCCAAGGTCAGCACACACACACACACACACACACGCATACACTACACACATTCTGAAACTTTCAGAAATCGGTTCGTAATCAGTTGGATAGCCGTTTGCATTTTAAATGAGTTCCTTGGAGTCACATAAAACTCATCTTGATCCAGTTTATTTATTTATTTTTTCCACTTTTTTTTTTTTTTTTATGCCGCTGCCATTGTTCTGTGCTCTTTGTTTCTGTGCCACGTTTGCTCTTTGTGCATATGGAAGATACCACCAGGGACCAACGTTTCAAGCCAAAAGGTTGCCGGGTCTCTGCGCTGGTTATTGTATGTAATTATCCTGCCAATCTGTTCACCTCAGCGGGCGCCGCGTGGCCATCATTAGGCATCAAAATGCAGCAGTAGATAAAGGGGAGGAGGAATGATGGAGAGAAATGGTTGGTGGGAGAAAGTCGTCTTTCATAGATGTTAGTCTCTGACTGAGACTATCAGTGGTTCTTCTTTCAGCCTCTTCAACTGGAGCTGCAGCTCTCTACCTGGGCCACATTGATGTTGCCTTCTGAACCGCGAGACTTAAACTGGAGATGTTTCTGGTATTTTAATGGCCAGAAAAAAGAAGTAGAGATTTGTAGCAGTGCAATTACACAGCAGAAGACATACTGATTAATATTTTCCTTCAGCAATGAAAATTTTTACACAATAAAATAAAAGACAGACATTCTGAATAAGCTAAAGAACAGATCACATTGTATTATTTTAATTTCTGACTTTGAAAGATGACCAAGAGGAAGAAAGCAGCAGACAAAACAGAGGACAACGACGAAGGAAATTCTGTCAAGAAAAGGAAGTCCTCAAAGGAAAAAGGTGAGATTCCAACAACATACGTGTAGGGTTTGCTGACTTATCACGGCATAAGGTTTTCATATCGATCGATATCGATAATTATTGACTAGTTTTTATTCTAAATACCTGAAATATAACCAAATTGGTAAGATGACTTTTTCTGTTTCAGTCAAAATATCCTCTGAAGTTGTTTCACTCATTCTCTTGTTTTACGTCTCGCTGTTATTTTTATAATTAAGAAGTTATGAGGCACAGTGGCAAAAACATGAAACTGCTGCTGTGCTTGTTGCTCAGCAGGTTGTTGCTAGGTAACCAAAGGGTGAGTGAGTTTGTTGATACCACCAACCGTGCTTAACTGGTTGTGCAGCTAAAGCCTTTTCTCTGCCTACATCTGTTGGTACTGCTCACGTTTTATCGTGATACATATTGTTATTGATCTGCTGCGTGTATTGTTCATGGCTTTTTACTGCTGGTTGAGTCGATCCTGTTCAGTGAATTATGGAGCTGATTTTCCTCTTGCAGAGGTCAATGGAAAAGAGGAAAGTTCCAAAGCTGCTCCCAGAGCTCGAAAGGGTGACAAGAAATCCAAACTGGTGGACATGGCAACCCAGACGTCACCTGGACTTGCCCGGCAGACCAGAGGAAGAAAGAAAGTTGACTCCTAAATGTTCATCTGTTTCTACACTCCTCCTCCTTTGTCTTTCTGTTTCTGCTGCTTCTTAAACGTTTTTTTTTTGTAGTAATATTCTGAAAAATGTTTGTGCCTGAGTGAAGCCACAGTTGTTGAAATAAAGAGGAACTTAAACTAATATTTTTGTAATTTCAGCCTCTGCTACACTAATTTATCAGTTATTTTTCAATTTCTGACGGAATTTATCTTTATAAGGAGCATAACTCGTTTTCTTGAAATTTCTGTGATATTTCACTGATTTTCTGCACATTGAAAGCTTTTATATTGCGCTCTGTTTAGCTTATTGACAGTAGTAGTGCACATTAAACAGCCTGGCTGTAAGAGCCCTATTTAACACCCAAATCCTTGTAAGGTGTTATGTCCTGCAGAGGTGCTGATTAAAATTTAGAGATAAAATATGGGAAATTCTTCATGTTTATTGGGTTACTGGAGAAAATGCTGGATGGCCCATGCAAAGACTTGGTCAGCCTCATCAGGACTTAATAAAATGTCTCATTAAGCAGCTGATGGACATTTTCGTGAAGTTTAGCCCAAACCAAGTTGATGTTATTATAACAGCAGCATATATGCCTGCTAATTTCCAGAAAGATTAGATAGATTTTAGTTAATTCTAGATATTACTTGTTTTTAATTAATAATGAAAATATATATTCTTGATTTAAATGTTACAGTCCAGCACCCAGATCAGTGCTTTGTAAAGACATACCAACACTGCGGCTCCAATGAAGTCGTTACCTCAGAGACGGGGCGATGCAGGAATCTTAAATCTCCTTGTTTGTGCGCCTTAGATTTCCCCAGAAGATGTCAGAAACTCAAGTCAGATGATCAGAGTTCTGTTCTCCATCACGAGTGCTGAGCTCTCACGTTAACACTTCACATTTGAGATGTTTCTGACAAGCTGTCCATTTCCTCCTCATCTGTTTCCTGTCTTCAGCTCTCTCATTAACTCCCAACAGGCTTCCTCCCTGCGGAGGAAGACATCTCCACTAATGTTGGTGGTGTGAGGGGCCTCGGGGGGGGGGGGCTGGTGGCTAGCTATTGATTGTTGCAGCCTCCTCAGGAGTAAAGAGCCTCTCCAGTCCCCTCCCACACTTTGACCTCAGGGGTGTCACAGCCGTGGGCCCACAGCAGGGGGCAGCAGTACATAATGACAGTAAATTGATGTTGCAGGGCGTGGGGGGGTGCAGGGATGAAAAAGGGCCCGGCTAATTCGTTGCAGGGGTCTTACCTGAGCATCCTCTGCGGTCCTGAGCCTCGCAGCAGTCGACTAACCGCTGCTCTCATAATATGGAAGCCGACCGTCCCCAGGCCAGAACTCAATAGCAGTTTCCCCAAACGCAGGGTTTCTGTGTTTGTGACAATTGTCAGTGTTTTCTGTGGTGGTGGGGGTCCAAAACTTAAAGACAAAGAACTGTTGGAATGTTCAGGGCCAACACTTTGGACATGGATGTAATCTCATGAATATCTCCTGGTTTAAAATCAACTAGAGTTGCTAATCAAATACATTGATCATCAGTGTGTCTGCCTTTCACTCACTCAGCAGACTAAGATTTTATACACATTTTATACCCCTTTAATTATTATGGAAATAGTTTCCAACACTGCTGCAGATCTACAATGCAGTCAGTAAGAATCAGGGTTTTTGTGAAGGCCTACTCAAAGTCCAGGGGTTTGTCAGATTGAAATGCTGTGATGGGACCACAACAGAGCTGGACAGAGAACACAGTGAATTTAAGTGCTGATGAAATAGGTTGCAAACCCATCTGAAAACCAATAAAATTATACTCTTCCTATGGTTTTTGTTGCTATGAAATAGTCAAAAACAGGTTTAAGAATTTAGCTGAAGGCTGTTATAAAGCAGCAGATGGTGAGAAACCAAACTGACACACTAAATCGGTAAATCATGTCATATTTCAAGATATTAAACTTACCGAGAGGAGCTGAGCCAACATATATTTTTGACATTCTGGTGCCTGTTAAGACTCAGAATGTGATGTAAAAAGTTCCAGAGAAGTAATTTTTCTTTTCATTGAGCTTTAATGTAAATCGTACACGACTCTTTGTCTTGCACATGTGAATAATGTGCTGTGTCAGTGGCCTCCTGCGTCGTATTGCTGCATTCTCCGGCTCTCCAATTGTCACAGCTTCAACAATAAATCTGCATTTCACCCTCCTCTTGCTTCTCAGCCAGGTAACACACACACACATTTTATTCCAGCCACCTTCCAGCCCTAAAAAAAAAGAAAGAAAACTTTCTCACAGTTGCAATCATCCACACCTCCTTCCCTGCAAACTCCTGGATAAAAAGATGCAATGAAATTTCACTGTTTGCACTATAATTTTAGTTCTCATTTTCCTTATTTTTCTTTGTCAAAGCAACACAGAGAAATGTGCACACAGGTTCCAGGTGTGGGTGCAGTGTGTGGCTGAAGTTACGCTACATTTGCCTTTCGAGTTGTGTGTAAATATTAGAAAGCAGCGGGTTGCTGGAGCAGGGGAGAAGCCAGCCAAAGCAACAGCAGCACAGAGACGGGCGTCCTTATCGGTTTTGTGTTCAGACTCCAGCGTGCTCCTGCTGTTTGTAATCTGCAGCCGCCGCTGTGAGCAAAACTGGACAGGCATTTATTGTCCCAGCAGGAGGACGCTTGACAAGAGAATGTTAAACACTCAGCTACCTGCAATTTTCACCAGACGATAGTAGACATGATAAAATATACACACACGTTTAATTTCAGATTTTTTTTTCTTCCAGCGTGAAGAAGCAGCAGTAAAATGGAACTAAGGAAAGCTAGAACCCTTTCTCTGCTGCTGATCCTTCAGATTGAGGGTGAACTTTGCTCTTCAGAATGTCCACTACAGAATATCGAAGGGCTTTCATGCAGATTATTTGCAGCACAAAGGTTTTTTGGAGAGATGAGGGGGAGAGCCTTCTGTCCTGTTAATGGCTCAATGGCAAGAAAATTATCATTGGATGTCCTGTTTAGGTTTTTACCACAATCTTTATGGCAGAATAAGTAGAGGAAGATTCTCTGGTCTGACAAGACCACATTGAATATTCCGGATGCAAAGAAAGTTTGGAGGAAATCTTACCCTGAACACACCAAATCCACTGCAAAACATGGTAGAGGCAGCTTGATGATGTGAGGATGCTTACTTTCCTTTGTGGAGACGAGGAGAACAGAGTCAATGGAAAGATAGGTGGAGCTAAATACAGAAAGAAAACTTACTAATTGTCAAAAACACACTTACAGTTAGGGCCAGAAATATTTGGACAGTAACACAATATTTGTGAGTTGGGCTCTGCATGCCACCGCATTGGATTTGAAATGAAACCTCTACAACAGAATTCAAGTGCAGATTGTAACGTTTAATTTAAAGAGTTGAACAAAAATATGTGATAGAAAATGTAGGAATTGTACACATTTGTTTACAAACACTCCACATTTTAGGAGCTCAAAAGTAATTGGACATATAAACATAACCCAAACAAAAAAGTTTTTTCTCAATATTTTGTTGCGAATCCTTTGGAGGCAATCACTGCCTTAAGTCTGGAACCCATGGACATCACCAAACGCTGGGTTTCCTCCTTCTTAATGCTTTGCCAGGCCTTTACAGCCGCAGCCTTCAGGTCTTGCTTGTTAGTGGGTCTTTCCGTCTGAAGTCTGGATTTGAGCAAGTGAAATGCATGCTCAATTGGGTTAAGAACTGGTGATTGACTTGGCCATTGCAGAATATTCCACCTTTTTGCTCTTATGAACTCCTGGGTAGCTTTGGCTGTATGCTTGGGGTCATTATCCATCTGTACTGTGAAGCGCCGTCCATCAACTTTGCAGCATTTGGCTGCAAAGTTGATGACAGTATATCCCGGTACACTTCAGAATTCATCCGGCTACTCTTGTCTGCTGTTATGTCATCAATAAACACAAGTGACCCAGTGCCATTGAAAGCCATGCATGCCCATGCCATCACGTTGCCTCCACCATGTTTTACAGAGGATGTGGTGTGCCTTGGATCGTGTGCCGTTCCCTTTCTTCTCCAAACTTTTTTCTTCCCATCATTCTGGTACAGGTTGATCTTTGTCTCATCTGTCCATAGAATACTTTTCCAGAACTGGGCTGGCTTCTTGAGGTGTTTTTGGGCAAATTTAACTCTGGCCTGTCTATTTTTGGAATTGATGAATGGTTTGCATCTACATGTGAACCCTTTGTATTTGCTTTCATGGAGTCTTCTCTTTACTGTTGACTTAGAGACAGATACACCTACTTCCCTGAGAGTGTTCTGGACCTCAGTTGATGTTGTGAACAGGTCCTTCTTCACCAAAGAAAGTATGCGGCGATCATCCACCACTGTTGTCTTCCGTGGACGCCCAGGCCTTTTTGAGTTCCCAAGCTCACCAGTCAATTCCTTTTTCTTCAGAATGTACCTGACTGTTGATTTTGCTACTCCAAGCATGTCTGCTATCTCTCTGATGGATTTTTTCCTTTTTTTCAGCCTCAGGATGTTCTGCTTCACCTCAATTGAGAGCTCCTTTGACCGCATGTTGTCTGGTCACAGCAACAGCTTCCAAATGCAAAACCACACACCTGGAAACAACCCCAGACCTTTTAACTACTTACTTGATTACAGGTTAACGAGGGAAAGGCCTTTTGAGTTACTTGCAGCCTTTGGAGTCCATTGTCCAATTACTTTTGGTCCCTTGAAAAAGAGGAGGCTCTGCATTACAGAGCTATGATTCCTAACCCTTTCTCCGATTTGGATGTGGAAACTCATATTGCAGCTGGGAGTGTGCACTTTCAGCCCATACTATATATAAATTGTATTTCTGAACATATTTTTGTCAACAGCTAAAATAACAAAACCTGTGTCACTGTCCAAATATTTCTGGCCCTAACTGTATAGAGGTTCACCTTTTTGGAAGATGACGACCTTGGAAATTTGATTTATTTTCTGTAAATTGATGTTGGATTTTCAGAACCCTAGAAGGAATTTTAAAACTTTTCAGTCTTCATGTTATTTCAAGCATCAGCAGTTAAAATTAATTATTTTTTGCAGCTCACAAAACCATCTTTTGCTAACTCACAGTGTTGGTCCTGTGAGATCAATCATTTTAAAATCTTC